TCTCTGGCCTCCACCTCTCAATCAGTGCAGTGATAAGCGGCTAATCAAGCCTAATATATCGAACCGTTGAACACTCCCGGAAACCGGCCTGAGAGATCAGCTCTAGAACTCTCGCATCCTCAATGACCCAAGCCGAATGGCTCTGGAAATGCTCGATCATGGTGATGTCTGGTACGGGCTGCACGTCAAAAAGAATTGATTAAGTATAATGCAAAAATTAAAATTAGTGCCAATGCTAAGGAATATATACAAAAGATGTTTTACCTATCCTGAGCCAATATGGTCTAAAACGTGGCTCGCCTGAAGGGTCAAAACGTCGGGGCGTATCGGTCCCAGATCCATAATGAATATAACTGAGAATAATATTAGAAGACAATGTACAGTGTGTTAGATCTTTCTGATGAAATACTCACCTAGTTATATATAAACAAGAAACGAATGCGCAACGTGAAGAAAGCAATAACTTGAAATCAAACATTAAATTAATATAACATAGTACGAAACGATACAAATTACAATCACAAATGACATACGGAAACAAACACAGATCGAAATTGCTACAAACTACAATCACAAATTACAAACACAGAACGAAACCGTTACAAATTACAATCACAAATGACATACGGAAACAAACACAGATCGAAACCGCTACAAATTACAATCACAAATTACAACATTAACGCCTAATCCTAGCTGGACAATTATTTTTGTTATGGCCCGGTTGATCGCATCTACTACACTTATTTCTCTAATCCTAGCTGGACAATTATTTTTGTTATGGCCCGGTTGATCGCATCTACTACACTTATTTCTCCTCCTAACTCCTTCATTATTTTTGTTATGGCCCGGTTGATCGCATCTACTACACTTATTTCTCCTCCTAACTCCTTCACGACCATCATCCATACAATTTCTAATTCGTACGGAATGAGGGCGCCCCGTCGACCTTTTACACAAAGGAGGTAATATCAGTGGCCCATCTTGTGTCCAATGTTGACTATCATATGGTGGACAAAACACTCTTTGTACGTTTGTCGATAGTTGTAAGTAGAATACCAAGCCACGACGAACTCATAATGTGAAATCCTCGCACCACCTTGTAGATCAGAACAAGCCGCGGCAACATGTGAATAAGGAATCCATTGTAATTACGGTACGTTGCAAGTGCACGTACACGTGTGATCCACTAACATGTTAACTTTGTAAGAGCGATTTTCTCTATGTGATATTTCATCAATGACCTTCCATTCATTAAAACTGTATCTTACGACATGAAAGGATAGAGCTTGCACAATCCGAGCCGCTAACATTTCATCATTCTTCGGTGTGAGCTCCGAGCGAATATTTTCACCAAGTTCGCATCGTCGTAGAAAGAAGTTATTAAGTCTGTAGAATGTTTTAGCAACTAGTGATTATATTAGCATACCGCGTGCTCCCCTGAGCACGCCATTGAAACTCTCTGAAGTGTTCGTAGTCATCACACAGAACCGTCTCCCGTCATCTTCACATAAAGCCCACTTATCAATATTGTGTGGTCCCAAACTAGTTTCGATCCAGTCATGTGTAGCTCAAGAAATAAACTTAATCCTTTCTCGTATTTGGTCATAAACTAATTTTGCTGTTGCACAGCTGGCTTGCTAAAGAAGATCTTGAACCTGACCGTTTTCATATTTCTTCTTAAAGTTGTCCCTAATATGTCGCAAGCAATAACGATGTGCATGTGGTGACGGGAAATAACGTTGGAGTGATCTTGGAATTCCTTTCATCCTATCAGATATGAATGTAATCGGCCGCGCCCACACACTAGGGATATGATATCTAATGCATGCAAAAAACCACGTCCAATTCTCTGTGTTTTTAATATCAACCACTGCAAACGCCAAAGGAAACAAACCACCATCCGCGTCAACTCTGGTGGCAACAAGCAAAACGTTTTTGTACTTGCCGTATAAGTGGGTGCCATCAATGCTAAGAAGAGGACGATAATATTGGAAACCCTCAATACAAGGCCCAAATGCCCAAAATACACCCGTAAATCGTCGTTCTTCGCCATCAAGAGGGTCTGATGAAACTTCATATACAGTCCCAGGATTTTTTCTTTTGAGTGCTTCAAGATAATACAGTAAGATCTCATAAGATTTGTCCCAATCCCCAAATATTTTTATCATCGCCTTCCTGCTAGCATTCCAACACTTATTGTATGATACATCCAAGTTGATCGCTTTATGCACTAAAAGACGAATATCTTTCGACCGTAGATCAAGATCCTCCCTCAGATGTGGTAAAATCAATCTATATATAAAAGAAGAGGACGCATGCTTGTTATTCATCTCCAATCGAGGATTGCTACATATGTGGACTCCGTTGTACGCCGTGATTTTAAAATGCCCACCTACTCTTACACCGAACGTGAATTAAGCTTCCAAGGACAATTCACATTCCCATCGTAGTGTCCACCAAGATCTTCATCTTCACCATCTTTGTGATAAAAATAAACCATATTATAGCTTGTTGTGTTATTTTTTGTTGGCCTAAACTTGACATTTTTTACAATGGCATACGAGCGAAGCATATGGATCAATTTCTCCTTACTCTTATAAAGATCTCCCTTCACGAATGAGAAGTCCTCGCCCTGTGTATCATGACCGCTATTAGTGCTAATAGGAACATTTTCCATCACGTAGTTATTAATCCATTCTTCTCCTTGAAGTTCATCGGGTGGCGGATCCTCTAAGACAACATACTCATTATTAGCATAACACCCGTCAATGTGGTGGTTGTCCCCTTCATCACGATCTATCAAGGTCATGCTATTAATTTGTAAGCCCTCCTCTTCATCATCATTCTCAGATTCAACACTTGCATTATCTTCTTGAACTCCCGTGTTAGTATCGACCGCATTCGAAGTGCCCACAAACGAAGGACCGCTCATATATTGTGATTGTGTCCAACCTTCATCTTGTTTGAGGAGATAAAAAAGCCAATGGAATCAACATCAGGGTCCTCCAACATGCGGGAATACATTCCATCATAATTCAACGATTTGCCCAAATTCCTTTGATGTTTTTCAATTAACAATTCGATCGAACGCTTCTTGTCATGTAAGACTCCAATGAGACTCATATCGTAGTCACTTGATATTTGAATGCCGCTTGTCTTGTTCTCCACAATAGGATAATTATAAATAACATTGAGGTGATACTCACGTGAGTTGGTTAATGTAAGTTTGTGTAATTCATTAACCAACTCATCGAAAGTACACGATTTTGTTATAAACAACGGTCTCGTCACACCTCCTTCATAAACGCACATATTATTTTCGAGGTAGTTAATCTTCCTATCATACGAACACAAAATTACGATTCGATCATTCATTATTACCTCTGAAGAGTAAAACATTCAAGATCAATATTACATGAAAAGACTTTAAAAATTTATTGTTACTTACCATTAAATCCTATATCAATTTTAGGGAACCATAATTTTACCGAAATTCATATATCGATGTCATACATATGTAGTAACACTAATTTTTTCATTTTTGATAATTTTACCTCCAAATCCATAAAATTATTTACTTTTTCTTCACAAAATTCATAAATTATTCACAATTAAATTCTAAAAATCTAATTGATGTCATATAACACTAATTTTTACATTTTTTATAATTTCACATCCAAATCCACAAAATTCACAAAATTATGTAATTTTTCTGAGCAAATTTCATAAATTATTCACAATAAAATTCTAAAATCAACAAAATTATTGATAACACTATTTTTTAAAATCAATTAGATGTCATACATATGTAGTAACACTATTTTTTATATTATTGATAATTTACCCTCTAAATTGACAAAATTATTTAAGTTTTCTCCACAAAATTCATAAATAATTCACAATTAAATTCTAAAATCTAATTATTTACATGTAATCACCATGAAATAGTGAGAAAATACAAGAAATTAAGAGAATAAATAATTTTAGGAGGAATTTACCTTCACTCTGTCGAACTCCGGCGACAACGACGGTTCCGACGATCGGAATGAGGTGCCGGCGGTCAGAATGGGGTTCCGGCGGTTGGAGTGGGGTTCCGACGGTCGGAAATGGGGAGAGGCGGTCAGAAATGAACTGGCCGGCGACGGTTGGGACGAGGGAGAGGGCTAGGGTTTGGGGCGGCAGCGTGAGAGAGAGGTGAGATCGGGAATGATACGCGCGCGCTTATATAGGGGTGGCCGAAACTCCACGGGAGTTGAACTCCCGTGGAGTTACAGGCCAAATTTCCCAGAGAATCGCTCTCGAGCGATTCTCTGGGAAATTTGGCATGTAACTCCACGGGAGTTCAACTCCCGTGGAGTTTATTCACGAAATTAAGCTTCACGAGAGTTGAACTCTCGTGAAGTTTAAAAATATGCTAAACTTCACGGGAGTTGAACTCCCATGAAGTTTCGTAATTTTTTTTTAAAAACCGACATGGTTTCAGCGACAGGGCTGAAACTAGGTTGGATTTTGAATTTTTTTGCAAAAGCGGTCGTTTTTTTTGAAAATAAATAGTGGAGGGGTTGGTTTTGAAAATTTGTCCTTTCTCGTTTCCCATTATCGGCTCCTTCAGCTCTGATTAAAAGTGTTCCGCTCCTCTGCTTCTCCTCTTTCGCCTCTGCCTCCTTTAGATACGACTCCAATTGAATTCTAGGGTTAGGGTTTTCACTGTCGTTCCTTGAATCTCGTCGTCGACTCTTCAGATCTGACCATGATACCCATATAATTGTCGTTCACAACTCCCTCCAAGCTCGGCGTTCCTCGAATCTTGTCGTCGACTCCTCCCTCGAAGGTCGCCATCCCTTGAAGGTCGTTGTCAGTCGAAGATCGTCTTTTACTCCTCCCTCGACTGTCTTCCCTCTCAAGTTATCAAAATGTAAGTTGAATCTTAAACTTACTATTAATATTGATTTTTAATTTATGTAATTGCTAACGATTATTCTTTATGCCTTTTACAGATATTTCCTCTCCTCTCTTTCTTCTCTCACCCCTTTTCCTGCAATGCCTATTATTTTTCGGAAGAAGAATAATTCTGAAGGTAATTTATTTATTTGTTTATTTTTCATAAAGTTAGGGTTTTAGGTGAAGAGTATGTTTTTTATTTTCAGATTTGTTGAATTAACCTTCAAAGATTGATAATTTCATTCTTTCATGATCTCAAAGACATGATCTTTCATTTTTCATTCAATTGATCTCGAAGACAGAAGGTAGGTGGTGCAGCGTTAGAGTTTTGTCCTCAAGGTTTGATCTTTTAGCCTCTTACCGGTCTCATGGAAAATTTTGAGTTTTTTTTATTATTTATGAGGATTTATTTATTTTTGTCTTTGATTATAGTTTTGTTAATTTTTACTTAACTGGAAAGATGCTAGCTTTTTTCATCTTTTTATTGTAAAATAAAAACCTCACTATCCTAAAAACTAAAAACCAATCCTCTCCATTGGATCTAGATTCATCCAACGACTTAGATTATAAGACTATTACAGCTGCATAAGGGTAAAATTGGAACAATTCACTACATTAATGGTGGCTGGCAACATTGGAAACTGGAGATAATGATTAAAATCAAAAATACAACACGTCCTCTCTCTCCAAAATCACAACTCTCTCTGTCTTCAACATCTTCCTATCCACGGTCTTCTTCAACCTTCGTCTTCAACCTTCATCTTCAACCACTGTCTTCAACCTTTGTCGTCGTTAAATTATTTTGACGCTTTAATGGTAAGTTTATGAAATTTGTTTGATTTTTCGTCTAGAAGTTTTAGTTTTAACCTTAAAGATCGTAGCTTTTTGTTGTAAAACGTGAAATATTTCACCTTTTAGTCTGAAAAGTTTTTTGTTTTTTGAAGAAACCAGTTGAAAAACGAAGACACGCATGAGTGAATCTAGATTCACTGCAGTGAATCTCGATTCACAGCAGTGAATCCAGATTCAGTATGTGAGGTGTTTGTTTTTTACCATAAAAATCGTAATTTTTTGCTTTAAAAGGTGAAATCTTTTCATGGTTTAAAAATTTATAGCTTGTTTTTTACCATAAGTTTCTTATTCTTTTTGTTTAAAATTTTATAGCTTGTTTTTTACCATAAGTTTCTTATTCTTCAATATAATCCAGATTCAATGGAGTGAATCCAGATTCAATGGAGTGAATCCAGATTCACTGGAGTGAATCCAGATTCACTCCAGCGAAAGCTTGGATGGTTAGGATGTTTTTTAATGAATTGTTGAAGAAATAAATACATGTGCTGTAATTTCGAAGAAATAAACACATGAGTGAATCTAGATTCACTGCAGTGAATCCAGATTAAGTTATGTGAGGTGTTTGTTTTTTACCATAAAAATCGTAACTTTTTGTTGTAAAATGTGAAATCTTATCATGGTTTAAAATTTTATAGCTTGTTTTTTACCATAAGTTATTCTTTTTGTTTTTTATTTTTGCAGATTTGCTATTGTTTGATAACGAGTTTCAGTCCAGTGAATCTGGATTCAATTCAGTGAATCTGGATTCACTCCAATGAATCGAGCTTCAATATAATCCAGATTCAATGGAGTGAATCCAGATTCACTCCAGCGAAAACTTGGATGGTTAGGATGGTTTTTAATGAATTGTTGAAGAAATAAATGCATGTGCTGTAATTTCGAAGAAATAAACGCATGAGTGAATCTAGATTCACTGCAGTGAATCTAGATTCACTGCAGTGAATCTAGATTCACTGCAGTGAATCTAGATTCACTGCAGTGAATCCAGATTCAGTTATGTGAGGTGTTTGTTTTTTACCATAAAAATCGTAACTTTTTGCTGTAAAATGTGAAATCTTATCATGGTTTAAAATTTTATAGCTTGTTTTTTACCATAAGTTTCTTATTCTTTTTGTTTTTTATTTTTGCAGATTTGCTATTGTTTGATAACGAGTTTCAGTCCAGTGAATCTGGATTCAATTCAGTGAATCTGGATTCACTCCAATGAATCGAGCTTCAATATAATCCAGATTCAATGGAGTGAATCCAGATTCACTCCAGCGAAAGCTTGGATGGTTAGGATGATTTTTAATGAATTGTTGCTGTGTTCTTCATGCGAAGATGGAAGATCAAAGCTTGATAGAAGATGGAAGTGAGTTACAGAGAGTATTAAAGGACGTGTTGTATTAAAGGACGTGCTGTAAAAGTGAGTTAGAGAGAGAAATGGGGAAGTGAAAGGACGTAGCACGTTGATAGTAAGAGAGAGTATTAAAGGACGTGTTGTATTTTTGGTTTTAATCATTATCTCCAGTTTCCAATGTTGCCAGCCACCATTAATGTAGTGAATTGTTCCAATTTTACCCTTTTCACATTGTTTTTTACAGCTCATGTGTATTAAATTTGTCTATATTTACAATTCCGCCATCGAAATGTAGGCTATTGGATTAGATAGATTGGAGGGTTAGGATTGGTTTTTAGTTCTCTAGGTTTTTATTAGAACCTCTCCCTATATATATATATATATATATATATATATATATATATGAGGATTTATTTATTTTTGTCTTTGATTATAGTTTTGTTAATTTTTACTTAACTAGAAAGATGCTAACACACACACACACACACACACACATATATATAAACTTAGTAACTGTTTTTTAGCTTTTATTACATGTTAACTGATTCTGGTGGTATATTTGCATAGTAATCTTTGATACGTAGACATGCAAATGCCAGACTTCTTCTTAACCCGTTGCTTTCTGGTACCTGGATTTTGAAATTAGGGCTAATGTAGTATTTTCCAGATAATTTGTGCATAATAAACTTTTTTCCTTGAATTTTTCGTTAGATTTCTGTGTATTCAAAGCTATCAAAGTTATTATATATGTTGAATTTTTAGGTGATTTTTGTTGTCTAGATTTGAAGCAGTTTTGATTATTCAGAATTTGTTCTATACATTAAAGGTAAATTTCATTAATTCCGAATTATTTAAATTTTGTATCCTTATTTCCCTTCGACTATCTGGTAATTTATTTATTTTGGTTTTAATGTAAGCCACAATCATATCTTTCTCTAATTTCACACAAATTTACAAACTGGGATAAATGTTACATCTAAATGTTATGGCATGTAGTTTAGCTAATATGTTGTCGAGCATCCTTGATAAAACATGAAGTGTTTTTTTTATTTTTTTTGTTTTTTTTATTTTTGTTTTGTTTTGTTTTGTATTGTTTTGTTCTTTATAGTGGCCTTTGACCTGTAATAATTGATTGTATGGATTTATTGTATATTGTTGCAAGTTATGTTTCTGTAATAATTGATTGTATGGATTTATTGTATATTGTTGCAAGTTATGTTTCTTTGTTTAGGCATCAAAGACTTCCTCAATGAATGTTTGCTAGTATTGTATATTGTTGCAAGTTATGTTTCTTTGTTTAGGCATCAAAGACTTCCTCAATGAATGTTTGCTATCCAATCTATCACAGATGAATTGTTTAATGTTATGACATGAAGTGTTTTATTCTTTTATGTGGAATAAAATAGATTTATATGCTTGCATGTGACTAAAAATTTTAAGCAAAAAAACAGCTACATTTGTTCTCAATATGTTGGTACCCTTTGTGATGTTGAGTTCTTGTTTTGTAGAAAATGTTGTAAATTGAGCAATTTAATCGTAAATTAGATCATTTTCACGTTGGATAATTTACTGCGATTTATTTACTTTTAAGAGACTGTTGAAATTAACGAAAAGAGATAGATAGTTGAGTGACACAATATGGGTTGGAAATTCAAATATTTGGATCCAAAAGAAGCGTGTTACAATTCGAATTGGGTGGATGGCAAGCTTACACAATGTACAAGTGAGAGAGTTCGAGATAAAGAAAACTTAAAGTCTCTGTCTCATGAGAAAAACAAATCCTACTCAACCCAGGGTGTGCTTGGTAATTCTTTAAATCTAGGTTGGGTTTGAACTTAGTCCAGTTTTAGAGTGATTTGTTGGTTAGTAAAAAGTGGGCTAGAAGTGACCCTGATTACTTTAGTTTAATTTTGGGCGTCTAAACTAGTTTACTTGTAGGCTTGCGGGTAATTGATCCACAATTAAACTTGTTCGGCCCATAACTAGTTCAAGGATCACATGTGGTCTAGTATCCCTAAACACATCCTAACAAAGTGTTATAAGAAGTCCAAGTCTTATTAGCGTTGGAAGAATTACATGAGTTTTTTATCATCTTAAGTGGGTCAAAAATATAATCATATTTATAAAAATATATGTTATATCTTGTCAAACTTTAAATAACATTTGATAGGAAAATGAATGAAATATATGTCTGGTTAAATTCTGTTCGTTTATAAGCTATATAGCGAATTATCTGTTCAATGACTAACTATAGTAAATCAAATATAATCGAATTTAGTATAGTTAGTCCTTGAAAATTTATATCACCTACAAATTTATTAATATTGTTACTCTTCCATCTTATTCGGGAGTTTTTTTAATCTCCCAAGGACATTCTAGTTATTTATCGTTAACAAGGCGTGTATGCTTTGTGAAATTTTTTGAAAGGGTGTAGGGCTTTATGTGAGAAGTCAAAAGTTCAGGGGTTCTTATAGGGAAAAGTTTTGGTGAGATTTGCCCTCTTTTCGAACTTTTAGGGGTTTTCTGATAACATGGTACAGATTAAGGGGGGTTGGTTTTTCTTTTTAATAAATTTATTTATTTTATGAGACAATATGCATTTAGCCGCCAACCCCGAAAACCCCACGCCGTCGATCCCTCAAAGTTCAAAATTTTAATCACAATCCGAGGCGATTCGGTTCGATCCTTATCTAGTTCGTAGGGTTTCTGTGTTCTTCATCTTTTACCATTCGTTAACAAAGAATTTTGCAGAAATTTCGATTTGGGTCCAAAATCTGAAGGCTATGGGCGCGGAATCGAAGTTAAAAGCAGCTCCTAAAGTCGTGAAATTGAACAAGGCCTTGAAATTGGTAAGGGAGGGAAAAAACTCACATTTTCTTGGTTTCTCAGTCTTTGCTCTATTGTTTGCTTATTTAATCTAATTTTTGTGATTTATTTGAGAACAAAAGTTATCGAAATATTGTGGAAAATCAAGCTGAACTTATGAGTAAGCAACGATGAAGTTATGTTAGCAAAAATTATCATCGAAATATTGTATCGCTTTTTCCATGGAATCGTATATCAACAAAGAGACCTGTTTATTATTGAGTATGTGAACTATGGACGCTGATTATTATTATTATTATTATTATTATTATTATTATTATTATTATTATTATTTCCCCACAGAACAAGAACTTTAGTCTAAATGGATGGAAAATGTTAATCCTTTGTTCTATCTATGTCAACCATTCAGTGTTAGAACTTAGTACCTAGAAATTCTAAATTTAGATATCGTAGAGTTCGGTAATCCTTTTTTGCATGCATCGGTTTTCTTCTAATTTTTGAGACAACGCGTTTTGTATATCTCCGAATGCGTACATTAAATATTCATTCTTTATATAGAATTCGACTCATTATGTCTTTCATCTCACACTTTCATCTATAAGATGGTCATGCTCATGATTCTAGAATTAACTGATTGTAATCAGATCTGAAGAAGCCTACAATTTACTGTATTTCCTTGCTTTGTTGTTACAAATTAATTGTTCGAATCAAAGTTTAAATTGAGACTAAGCACTAGTCATCACGAACTCAGGGATTTTTAGCTGGAGTTTGTTTGTTCTAGTTAAGCTAATATGTTGATGTAAGTGTTATCTTTAAGCCTTTTCTGTTGTTTGTATTAGTATTTTCTTGTAGGATAGAATAACAAAAGAAAAACAGATTTGTAATTTTTTAATATGCGAAGAAGGAAGTAAGAACTAATCATCTTTCCCATTGAAATAAAATCTTTATTGTAAATGAATGAGTAATGTCCTCACGATAATCCTTTCGTTTGTCTATGCATGCATCAGTTTCTTCTAATAGAGAGTGTGTTTATTTTGTAAGTGTCTATGAGTTTATTAGGTATCCATGCTTAGTGCCATATTGATATACATGATTCTAGAAACAATTTATTGTGATTTTAAACATATTTGAAGCATACAAGCAGTACTTTATTTCCTTGCTCTTGTTGTTACAACATACAATTTTTAACTTTTAAGACATTATATATGTTGACAGGCTGAATCATGGGTGAGCAGTATGAGCGGATCAACAACAGAAGAACATAATCAACTTGATTTTGTGGGTCGACCTCCAAGGTTGTTTTCATTTTTATTTCCTAGTACCTTCATTATGCATATATAGATATTCTACTGGAAATTGAGCTTTGTTTGTAAATCTTTGTGAAGGTTGGGTCTAGGAGCCAAAGAGACGCCAAAGGCAAAATCAGAAGTTTATGATCCTGTCGAAAGAAAATTGTTGGGGAAATTGCATGCATGCAAGAAATCATCCATTAAAGATGCTAGAAAAGGCAATATTGTTGAAGAAAGTGTAGACAGCGAAGAGGAGGATGATGATGATGAGCCTCAGAGCAGAACGAATGCTTTTGCCAAAAAGAGAGCATTGCCTCCAATCACAACTCCACAGTCGAAGAAACAAAAATGAAATGTTCAGACACTAGACAGTCTAATCCTAAATTATGTGTTCTTTTATTTCTCCACTTCGCACTAAATTTTACTAGCTCCGCTCATCCTAAGATTTTGTAGTTGATCAGCAATTAAACATGCAGAAGCTTTGTCAATTGTATACTTGTGAAGGATGTTTAGGATCGTTATCTATAATTATAGAAAATTACTTGTTCTATGTTTAACTTGTAAAAGAGCTTGTTGTAACCTTTGTCTATCTACAAAACTAAAACTAGAGGGATAGCAAGTTCAGAACAACGATACTATGAGGGGTCTATCTGCAGCTAACCTCTGATATTGCTATTGCTTCTGTAGTCGTTGTTGTCATTGTTGTTATTATCGTCATTGCCATGTCATTGTTAGTTGCAACTCATTCTTCTTACTGCTATATGTTTTTTGATGATATTATGTCTACTCTTAACACGCTGTTGCTATTGAGGAACATTTGGAAGAAGATTCTGTAAAGCCGAACCTAAATGATGGGTAAATGAATGAAATTTTCCTGTTATATGCCATTAGTTGTTTGGAGTGCAAAGAAGTAATCAATCTCCTAATAGTATGTTGGGTCTATTTGTATGTTTGAGAATACCTGATCTGAATGTATTCTGTTTATATGTGGCACAACTTTTCAGAATGATGGAGTTGATATTGCTTTCCTGATTTTAGTGGGAGGGACCAGTTGTTACCTAGCCGTGAAGAAGCTGAAAGGCTTTGCAATGCTTTGCCAAATTGCAGAATCCGACATTTTCAAGATAGCGGTCATAACCTTTTACTGGTATGGTGTCCAATCTGCTTGTATGTTCCTTATGTTTTAACATACTGTCAGTTGTTTCAAAAAAGGGCAGTCCAGAGCGTTAGGCTGCCACCATTGTGGGCTCCACGAAGGGCAGTTGTACACAGCCTTATCCTCGCATTCGGAGAAGTTGTTTCCAACATTCGAACCCATGACCTCTAGGTCACATGACAGCATGACAGCAACCTTACGTTGCGCCAAGGCTCATTCTCTTACTGTCCACTTCTATTACTCTCTTTCTGTCGTCATTCATAATTTGTATTGCGTTACTAGATGACAACATATGACTGCTATTAGCCGGAAACCAATTGTCCCACCACCTTGTGGAAAATGAATTGACTTTTTAATTTTTAATCTGATGTTGCATATCTGGTACTTTAATTGTTAGAATTCAAGACTGTAATGGTGTTGTGGAAGGGTCATTTGACATGGTATCAAAGCAACCTAGTTTCAATTCCCATGAACACAACTTGTAAGTGGATTTAAAAAGATGATGCCTCTGCATGAGTCAAGGATTCGACCTAGGGTGATCAAATGTTTTACAATGGAAAATTGTAACCCCTAACTCTCACCACAGCTTAAGAATTTTGGTGTCAAGGACTTACACTTTACAGCTTGTCAGTGACTAATATCTTGTTGAAGTAAAAAGATTTCGTTACCACTAACTAAGAAAAGTTTTTAGTGGGCATTTTCCCTGTGTTGTTACTATTATCCATATATCCTGATCTCTAAAACTCTAAAATGTCTGGAACACTTTATTTGACCATCTTTGCTTCCTGATGAACCCTAACTCAATTCTGTAACCTCCACAGTGAACAACACTTTTCAATCCTTTTTTTAAATCATCTTTGTAAGCCCTAAACATAGATCAAAACTGATATTAAATAAAATTTTGTAAAATGTCTGGAACACTTTATTTGACCATCTTTGCTTCCTGATGAAGCCTAACTCAATTCCGTAACCTCCACAGTGAACAACACTTTTCAATCCTTATTTTAAATCATCTTTGTAAGCCCTAAACATAGATCAAATCTGATATTAAATAAAATTTTGTTCTACTTGGTGTTGTGCAAGTGTATTGTAACAATTGATCGACAATTTCAAGCTCTGCTTGGCACCTTCACACACACAAACACACACACACACACACACACACATATATATATTACCTACCCCTCATTGAAGGAGGAATCGATGTAGTAACTGCTATAATGGCCTGTAACTATTATCGTCATTCAAGACTTAAAGACTATGTATCAGATTATCTATTGCCTACCCCTCATGAATCCAGAAGGCGGTAGAGCCGTATAGGTAAAGGTCCTTGCTGCATATCCTAACCACACTAAGACCATCTCCAACGCGACGCTATTTTGCCGCAAAAAGCGGATTTGCCGCTGCTCCGGAGCTCCAACGCGGCGCCAATTCTCGCTGCATTTTAGCGGGGATGAACAGCGCGACGCTATATTTGGCGTCGCACTGTTCATCTCCGCATTACTGTTTCTTTTATTTTTTTTTAATTTTTTTTTTAAATTTTACCTCATATTTTTATGTATTTACAACTTGACCCCAATTATTTTATTACATGTATAAAACAACCCTAATAATATTTAAATTTTATAATTTTACCCCAATTGTATAATTTAGACAAAATAAATTATTTTTTAAAAATAAAAATAATGCTGAAATTAAAAAGACATTATTATTAATTATACTATTAAAATCTAGACATTATAAGTAAAGTCCCATGAATTATAAAGAGCAATCATAATACATAATTCAAATATAAATTACATATCTGGAATACATAACATATAAAAACTGACATACATAATATAAAACTTCATTAAAATAAAACATAAAATACAAACTAAACATGGAACATTACATAAGATGGTCAAGCAACTCTCAATAATCTGGTAGATCGGGGCCAGAGTGTCCAATATCATTGAAATAATTGCCAAAATTAGAAGCAGACCCTTGTTCTTGTTGATTTCTTTTTTGTATTATTTTAATCTGTTGAGCTCGAACGTACTCACGCACGTTTGGATCAGCAATGGAATTCAAATCTTTCATTATAATTTTCCATTCATCTCTATCTTTTTTCATGGCTATCTTTTCTCGTTCGATATCAAACGCTACTTGCCTGTCCAAGCTCGCCTTGTCTAACCTGTCTATAAGTCGATTGTTGGAGGTCTCGATGGAGTCCACTACACTTGACTCATGATCATCATTTTTCCTTTTCAATTTAGCTTTTTTTACCCCAATAGGTCGTTCAGATGGAGTAAATGATGACAGTCCAGGAGATGTTGATATAGGAGATTCCGGAGTGGGATTATCTGATTGTGACGAGTCGAAGTTCACACTTTGGGATTGTCTTCGACCAACTTGTCTTGCTGTGGGGACATCATCTTTGAATTTTTCAAAATTTTTAACCATATTCCAGACATGATCAAATTTGAAACCTTTTTTGTACTTTGGTTCTTGCATAAATAACATCTTTGCTCGAACTAACTGCAAAATATAGTGAACATCAAGTTATGTTTTTCAACAATAATAATAAATTTCAAACGATAATTAATAGAATACTTACAATATCTTCATCTGAAGCACCACTTGGATTCAGATTCTCTACTTGTCTCAAGCACGCATTCAATTTCCTTACTTCATTACTTATGATTTCCATTCGAGAACGAATTGATCGGCTCGTACGCATCTCAAAATGCTGATCTCGAAGTTCATTGTATTTGTCCTCCACACGAGACCAAAATGCATCTCGAGACTGGTTTCTACCGATAATAGGGTCTTGAGAAATATCCAAGAATACTTGACAAAGGAGCACATCTTCAGTAACCGTGTATCCAGTTAATCGAACAGACATTTTTTTGTAAAAAGCGGTTGGTTTGGAGATCAGAAATACTTTGAAGAAATACTTCGAATTGGGTGGCTTGAAGTAGAAACCGTGAATGTTATTTATAGCCAATCCAAATTTGTTTTTTTTGTTTGAATTTGAATTTGAATTTGAATTTGAATTTGCGGTTGGTTTGAATTTGTCGGTGGTCAACATTTGAAATTGAATCATTTTGTACAAACTGATCAGCTTTACACATTATCCAACGTTGTCGGTGGGAATCAATTTTTGAAATCAGGTCAGCTTTACACATTGTCCAACGTATACACAGCTCAGCTCTCCTTGAATTGTGTGAAAGCTTTGTACGAGTGGGAATCAATTTTTGAAATCAGGTCAGCTTTATACATTGTCTAACGTATACACAGCTCAGCTCTCCTTGAATTGTGTGAAAGCTTTGTACGAGTGGGAATCAATTTTTAAAATCAGGTCAGCTTTACACATTGTCCAACGTATACACAGCTCAGCTCTCCTTGAATTGTGTGAAAGCTTTGTACGAGTGGGAATCAATTTTTGAAATCAGGTCAGCTTTACACATTGTCCAACGTATACACAGCTCAGCTCTCTTTGAATTGTGTGAAAGCTTTGTACGGGTGGGAATCAATTTTTGAAATCAGGTCAGCTGAGCTTTACACATTGTCCAACGTATACACAGTTCAGCTCTCCTTGGATTGTGTGAAAGCTTTGTACGAGTAGGAATCAATTTTTGAAATCAGGTCAGCTTTACACATTGTCCAGCATATACAGCTAAAAGCAAATTTGAATTTTGTGACAAATTGATAACAGCTAGAAAGTATTTTCTAAAATCAGCTCAACTTTACACATTGTTCAATGTATACAGCTAAGCAAAGTTTTATAAATAGCATACTAGATTAGGTACATCCACACAATTACTCGTTGTTGTGTTAAAATTATTATTCTCCATTTCTGCATACTTCAGTCATTCTTTTCTTACTTCAAAGATGAATTTCGATGTTGGAGGTCCATCATACTTATCATCATCTTCATCTTCGGATGATGATAATTTTCTGTCCAATATCATTGCAGAGATTGATGAAATCGAAGAAGTAATTTGTGAGTACATCAACAACAACATGATCCTCGTTAACAATTTACGTCAACACAACTACCAACCGATCCATGGTGGCTCGATTCCCGGTCATGCAGTGATCAACCGCGATCGAGAAAATGCGCATCAGAATTTGGTCATAGATTACTTTGCCGATAATCCACGTTTTGGAGAAGATATGTTTCGTCGTCGATATCGGATGTCAAGAAGTTTGTTCCTTCGTATTGTTGATGCAGTGAAAGATCATGACTATTACTTCCAACAACGAAGTGATGGACTTGGTAGAATGGGATTATCACCGTTACAGAAAGTAACAGCTGTTTTTCGCATGTTGGCATACGGTCTACCAGCTGATGCTACGGACGAATACGTTAAAATAGGTGAGTCAACAGCAATTGAAAGTATGACAAAATTTTGTCGTGCTATGGTGGAAATATTCGCAGAGCGGTATCTACGAACACCTAACGCTAACGATATTGCTAGGCTACTCTATATTGGAAAAAAACGTGGTTTTCCAGGAATGTTAGGAAGTCTTGATTGTATGCATTGGAAATGGAAAAATTGTCCAACAGCATGGTCTGGGCAATACACAGGACGTAGTGGGTCACCAACTATTATCCTCGAAGCTGTGGCAGA